CATTAAATGATCCATCAATTTTCATAAAAAAATATAAAAATGTTCCATTAAAAAAATTTCAAATTACCTTAATATCTCGAAAAGACAAAACAAGTGAGACAAACAATTCTATATTTCATATAGAAATTTTTCTTAAAATAAAAAATTATTTCGGATGGCAATTGTTATTGATTAATCGTAAAATGAATTACTAAATTTATCTAATCGTGAAAGCTAAATTCATATTAATATAGAAGCAAATTTAGCTGTATCTCACTGCACACCTGACGAAAATAAATTAAAAACTAATCGCGACTTTCTCAATTCGTCGAGGAATTTGTCTTCAAAGTTTACCGTATAGAAATTGCTTATGAAACAATCCGTATTGATCGTTATTATTTCGAGCTTCTAACACGATCAGTCTTAATCTCCATCATCGACGACGATCGATCGATCGACCTTGAAACGTAAACCTCACTCGATATTACTCTTTAAGCAGTTTATCCCTGCAAGACAAAACGAATTGACTGTAAACCCTCGCCAAAATATTATAGTTTCGATGAGAAATGCAAATACGTGACGACGATAACTAACGGCTGGCGATAGGCCAACAGTTATTTCCCAACAACACAATCAACATGTCTCAAAAATATTCTTTTAAAATGTTTTTAAAAGACTTCATGAAAGATATTTTAAAGATATTATTAAGGCTTCTTAAAAAGAAAGTTTAGCGAAATATTTTTTAATGTCTAGTTATTTATATTACTGACTGTAATTTATTGATTGAAATACGCATAGCACCAGTCTAAATAGATTATAAAAATATTTATTAGCAGTTCAAACCGAACATTCCGATATTTTTTATTACAGACAGTGTTATAACAATACAATTAAAACAAAGCTGGGCAGAAATGCATTAACACTAAGAACGCGAGAAAAAGACTGAAACTAAACTGATTCGAAATTGATATGTTAATTATTCTATACTTATATAACTTTGCTAGCGGCAAAATAAATATAAAATCAAATATTGTTAATTAAAGATTATTAGATTGTTAATTATAATTAAATATAACATTATTAAAGTACCGACTCATTGAGTAATTCTAAGTTTCGTCTCATTTCCTTCTCGTTAACGCATAATTTTACCATAAATTTCCGCATAATTTTACCATAAAAATGATTCCTAAAACAAGACGTCTCCAAGACGTTATAAATCGGGATATGATTTTAATGACGTCTTTCCAACAATTTTACGAAAATTATTATATTATTCTCTGGATGTTTACTGCAAAAGAACGTTTCATATTTATATGATGAACAAAAATAATCGATCACAATTGCTTATGCAAATGCATGAATAATGAAGCAAAGTTGATCTTAGTCATCGCGGACGTCTTCGCAAGCATCTTTTATCGCGGTTGATCGGTTTCGTTGTTATATAATTATCTATTGTCTAGCCAAATGTTTCATTCTCAAGCAATGTGCAACGATTCCTCTTGATTTTGATTAATTTTCATCGCGGCGCGATGTACTTTCAATATCGCTCGGTGATGATACCTCAATCAATGACTATATTTGGAACTAGTCGCTCATCGATTTATACTATTTCGCAAGATTACTCCGAATATTAATAGAATTATTCACATTTGTCTTATTTAAAATTGTTAGAAAAAAAAAAATCTTGTGCTATAAGAAAGGTATTCTCGAGACTCGAAGAAATAAGACTTTCTGCGAAAATATTGATCTTTCCAAGCGATCTTTAGGCGCACAAAGGGATCACGCACCGCTGGGGTTTCGATTCGCGATAAAACATGCGCCGTCCCGCCGTTGCTCCGAAAGCGACGCGAAGCCAGCTACGAACGGCGGCGGTCGCGCGCAACATGGTGGGCTGCATTTTCACGACTCGTGTGCAGAAAAACACACACGACATGTGCATGCACAGCGCGCGCGCACGAGTGTACCGAGACCCACGCTATCTTTCACGTAGAGCACGTGGAGAGAGTCTTCGTCCTTTCTCTTTCTTTCTTTCTTTCTTTCTTTCGCGAAACGCGACATGCACACACACGTGCACGCGCATATATTCACGCGAAATATCAACGGATGACGATTACATTGTAATACTCACCGTAATCATGTACCGGCGACCGTCGGCTGTAGCTCGCGGCGTTGCTCGCCGGCGTCACCCGGAATCTCTCCATGCCTCTCCTTGCTGCGTGCACCGTTTGTCACTTCACCTCCTGGAGACGACGGAGAATACGCGGGGCGACACACGGACGACGACACTCGATGCAAACGAATCGGCACGTTCTCGCGCGCACGACCACTCGCGTGCGCATTTCCCACTCGCTAACGTGAGATTACGGGACGCTACTGTGCGATGTGCGCGCGACCGGCGGGACGCCGCGACCGGCTCGGCGTTATCTTCACGCGAGACAGCGCGGAGTGGGGGTAAGGGCAGTGACTGGAGAAGGAGGGACGATCACGAACGAGCGAGAGGGAAGGGGATGGCGAGTTACCGAAAGGGGAAAGTCTGTTGTCCCGGGGAAAGAACGTAGATCTGTTTGTTTACTCGCACTCCCTGCAAATTCATGTACCTCACATCGAAACTAAATGTATTCAGATATATAGTTGGAGAAAAAAAGAACGATGAATGAGTGCAAAAAGTAAACAAACGGGCCTGCAAAGAGAAAAAGTATAGGGAAACGAGAGCAAGAAATGGAAGAGAAAAATATGATAAAAAAAAAAGTATCGATCGTTTAGTTTAGAAAGAGAATGCAAAATAAAGGGTAAAAAAAACAAATAAATGTATATTATTTTATGTATATTATTTTATGTATATTATTTTATGTTCACGACGGACAATGTAATGGAATAAGAAAATCTTACCTTATGGAGGATGAGATTGCAAAAACGTAAAAGGAGATAGAAAGGCGCGGGTGATGGTAATTAAGTCAACGATGAGGAACGTGATGGGCGAAATGAACAAGCGTAACCGCGAAAGAAAACAGAGGGGCAAGACGAGCCGTGCACGCGATCGAAGTGAAAGAGACAGGACTGACTCGGCAGGCGAACGGGGAGCGGGCATCGAGTTGGCGACAAAGAGAATTGTTCGCGACGATGTGTCCTCTTGCAATCCACGCGCGCCCGCGATGTCGGCGTCGGCTCGGCCCTCTCGCGGGTCCCTGAACCACCCACCGCGAGCGTAGGTGCGCAGTGACGTAACTAGCAAGTTCATGACTGCGTATCACGCGTTGCTGAAGGCGTATGCGTGCAGCCGACGCGTGATCACGGAATTATGCGACGCGTGCCGACGCGACGTCTTCGTTACGCAGAAATCGATGCGGAAAAGAGATCTCGCTCTTGCGTTCCCCTTTTCCCGCTGCCCTCGGAATGACGCGATCATTTGCCGGAAAAATCTCTCTTTTATCCTTCCTGGAAAAATTACTTTCGCATTCGCATCGAAGATTCCTTGCGTAAAAAAAACATTATCGATTACGCGAATGCTTGTCATACTGCTGACTTCTGATTCGAACTTGTCTCGAATTCAGAACTGGAGTTCTCGGTGCGATTGTCGGCGAATTGTCAATGCGAGATCTCGCGGAAATTTTTTATTTTTCCTTTCCGAAGGTTTTCTCGACACCTGTCTACGCGAAGAGATAAAAATCTAGGACCGCGCGATCGCGTCGAGAAGCGAATCGAGGGGAAGGCAAGATTTTATTTTTACCGACTCGCATCATCCCGCTCGGCGCGTCTGTCATTGTGCATGACGGCGTTTTATCATCTCTCGCATTCCACAACGATTTCATGGAAGGGCGCGAGCCAGTCGGCGCGTCGGAGACGCGCAAGCGGGCACGGCGCGAGAGCGCGCGCGATACTCTTTCCCTTTTGTTTCCTTTCCCTTCTTCATTTTTTTTTCTCTTCCACTACAAGTCGCAAACCCGCAGGAACGCGCGAGCGGCGTTTCTCCGTCTCTCTTTCACCTCCATTCCTCTCTCCCTGTCTCCCGGCGTTTCGAGCGCGAAACAGCTGATAGCCGTCCCTTTAATCGCGTCGTCGAGGTGAGTCGCTGGCGACCGCCGGAAGGATCCCGTCTCGTCTACGTCGTCGCACGATCGGCGCAGGTGAGTACCCTGCCATCGCGTGTTCCGAGGAACGTCGGATGCCGGTGCGTCGAGGCACCTTTGTAGGTTAGGAAGGGTTTTCCCGGTCGCCCGCAAAGCGGGCGGCGTACGTACGAACGAGCGCACATAGACGCGCAACGGTCGCCATCTTCGAAACGCGAGGTCGATTTTCGTGCGAAATTTGCCCGGGTCCTGCCCCCCATGGAACTTCGTTCTCGACATCGCGGACGTATTTATGACTTCGTCGCGAGGACGAGGACGAGGACGAGGACGAGAATCTCGCATCCGAGTGAAATTCGAAACAAATTCGGATCGAAAATCTCCCTTTCTCTTTCTCTCCGTCTCCTTCTTCCCTCTTTCTCTCTCGCTCCCTTTGCGACGAAACTTAACTCGCCGGAAATCTCGCGATCGCAAGGTATTTTTCTATCGTTCGTCGTATCGGTGATTCATCTCGCCGAAGATCAGGTACTCGTTTCCTCAGAGACAGCGACAATTCGCTGGGGGACAGGGGATACCTTCCGCGTGCACGTTCCATTCATGAGATTCAAGTTAGGAGACGACGCGATAGAACGCTCGGTCATCCGAATAACGCGCGCGATGCGCCGCCATGACGGTTCACGCTGCGCCGCGACGCGGCGCGGCGCGGCGTTCCGACCGAACGGTGGGGAACGGCGGAACGGCAGGACGACGGGTGTCGGACGTGACATCATCAATGGCCGCCACCGTGTTGTCTGTGTACGCAACCGAGCGCGGCACTCTCGCAGGCCGTTGCGAAAGCTCACCCAAGGGACGCCGATAGTTTGTTTCTCGCCCGGAGCTGTGGTCGAACGCGCGAGACATGGGCTCGAAGAAGCACAAAAAGCACAAGCGCGAGAGGCATGAAGGTGAGAAGCGGACGGGTAAACCGCGCGTGGCTCTCGTACACCCGCGTCCTGGTCGACGGTTCGCGCGGACAGTTCTTGCTCTATTCTGTGCTCGTCGCTTCGAGACTTCCTCCTTTCTACCCTCGTTACGCTCGCTCGGCTCTGTCAATTGTCGTCTTACGAAATTGTCGATCGTTCTCGACGGAATGAATGACTGGTAACGTTAACGCAATGTCAAATCAAACTTCTGTCAAAATGACTTGTCCTCTTGACGAGGAAGCTCGTTTCATAGAGCAATCTCCTCGGATTTAGATTTCTAAAGATGTAACGGATTAGACTTGTGAGAATGTAATAGATTAGATTTGTAAGAATGTATGTCATCTATGCGGCATCATTACATCGCACCAAACTGTGTACTTATGTGTCAATCATAAAGAATTAAAAAGGATTCGAATGAAAAGTGAGGATGCCTCGGGAGCGAAGGGTTTCACATCCCGGTTTGCAGAGCCGGTCTACGCACATTGTAATTTTCATTGGGATCCTTCTCATACTCATAGTTTAATGATGCACAGGAATTTTGACTTCGTTTTCACCACGGACAAACTGAGAGTGAGGTTGGAGTAGAAGTGAGGTGGATTCGAAAGTATAAACCGAGCATTCCACAGCAACAGGCGCGACGTGGAAGTAAGTGACGAGTAACAACGGACATGGACTGGTTGCACGACAGAAGCTAGCTGTGCTTCGAAAATTTATCAAACGCCCCCCGCCTCTGCCCCCAAACCCTTTCATTTTTTTTGTCTGTCGAATCCGTTGAAGTGCAACAAGATTTTGCGCTAAGTCGTTCTCCTTTGCTACAACTGAATAGTATGCCTAAAGCGCTGGACACACTTCAGACAGTCTCACACACACAGACAAACCTGTTGCACTTCAATCATGTAACTCCTTTGGCTGTTATGTACCATGGCAGTGAAAGCCACATATGCTTTGCTTTACCTCTTAGTGAGGTATTTTCAATTTTAATGATTGCTCTCCCTGATTATTCCCGTCGATTATTCGATTTGATATAACCGATGGAAATTATTTTATACATTAAGATTTGTTTGATTTAAGTCGAGCTACTTCCATCTCGCTTCCAGTTTGTTGAATGTGAAAACAAGGTCACGCTATCCTGTTAATAAAATCATTAATTTATATTATCGATATTACATTATCGATATAATTCCTATCCACCTGTCATTTTAATGTCCTGTAGATTTTACATACATATATTTTTTCACAATATGCACTACCTTTTTTTCGGTATCATCGTGTCACACATTGCAACATTTCTGATGTCATATATATTTTTTGTGTTATATTCTTATCCTGCATAATCTTTACGCAAGATTGCATGTGGCACATTTACAACAGATCATATGTATGGCTTCTAGAACAACAATTTTAGTGCTGCTTAAAAAGAAATAACAGATTATTTCACAAACGATAACTAATTGTATATTTCTTTCTTCTTTTTCTTTTTTGACAGAGGGCCAGTACACAACGACGGACAAGCCGCCTAGTTTGAAGTTAATCTTAAAGGTCGGAGGTAGTACTGGAACACCCGAGCACGGCAGCGAGTCGCCGAATCAAGCCACGATGCTGTCGCAGCATTATCAACAGCAATTGGGTCTTAATTATTCTGTCAGTCAGGGGGACGCAGAGTATGACAGATATGTTGGTCACAAAAAACTCAAGAAGAAGAAGAAAAAGAAAGATAAACGACACAAACATCATCATAAAGATAAGAAGAGACGGAGAGAGGAATCGAGTCAAGAATCGGTTGGTGACGCCGATGAAAACCTGATCGAGCCTGTACCTAAGAAAGCTTGTACCAATCACAACCAGCTGTTGCCGCCTAGACCACCATCCAGTGGCGAATTAAGGGTCGGCGTTAGTAATATAAGCTCTCTATCGCCGCATCGCGAGCCCAGGACGTGCGTCCTCAGAAAAATAGCAGAACGTACGCCTCTTCAGAGGTTACTGGAACATCTGTTGAGATCAATGGAGAAACGGGATCCACAGCAATTTTTCGCCTGGCCAGTCACAGACAGTATTGCGCCCGGTTATTCTCAGATAATCACGAATCCGATGGATTTCAGCACGATAAAGCAAAAAATAGACGACAACAACTATCAGAATTTACAAGAATTCGTAGACGATTTCAAACTTATGTGTGACAATGCTATGACGTATAATCATCCCGATACTATTTATTACAAAGCGGCGAAAAAATTGCTACATGTTGGTCTGAAGATGGTCACTCCGGAGAAATTGCGACAGCTTAGACCAGTTCTAATGTACATGAATGATATCACGAAAGAAGAGCTCGGATTTGAATTGGGCATCGAGGATCTCAACAATCCGGATGCTCCTGTGACAGAGGAACAGATCGAGCGAGAACGCGAGCAGGAGGAACGTAATGAAGAAGCAGAAGAGCTCAGGAAAGAGAACCAGAGAAAAATGAGACTGGCTAGTTTAGGCAAATTTGAGGCAATACCAGATGATATGACGCCAGAGGAAATATTGAAGCAAGCTAGAGGAGCGGCCAAAGCGGCAGCGGAGAAACTCAGTTTGAAGAGAGTCAACTCGAAGATGGGTTTCTTGCGACAGAAGAAAGACGGCACTACCAGCTTACAGATTATTGTGCCCGGAGATGGAATTATTCCCGGGACCAATCAAAGACCCGTGTCGCTGGGACAACTTATAGGCAAATTGAATCATGGTACTGGAGCATTAGCAGGATTCCGCGAGGATCGAAGGAATATGTCCAAACCAGTGAAACCTTTGTACTATGGCGCATTTGGTTCATATGCACCGAGCTATGACTCGACGTTTGCGAATCTCACCAAGGAAGAAACCGACCTAGTCTATCAGACTTACGGCGACGAGACTGCCGTGCAATACGCTGAATCTATTCTAGATTTTGCAAAGGACTGTGATTACACATTGACTATGGTCGACGATCTGTTGGACATTCTTACAGGCGGCGATCATAGGAAGACAAAGAAATTCCTCGAAGAAAAGCGAAGACTGAAAGAAGAGGAGGAAAAGATCAAGCATTTGCTAGAGAAGCCTATGCAAGACGTGAATCGTAACATTCCGTCATTGGATAAAGTCAAAGTTGATATCGAGCAGTTAAAGACACTGTCGGATCTTGGTATCGATATAAATTTCTTAGAGAATTTAGGTAAATATATAAATAATCATGAAAATAAATGATTTTTATATATAGAGAGAAAACATTGTTTTAAATAAATACGAATAATACATGCAGATAGTTCATATTTTAAATTTCGCAATTTAAATCTATTTTTTATATTATCTTATTCTCCTGTTTTAAAATAAATTGAAAATGCATTTTGTTCAATAAAGCCTTCAATTGTAATTTAATAACTTTAATGTCTACTGTTCTTCCACGTTATTTAATTACATATATATCTTTTTGTTTACAGAAGAAGACTTTAAGTACAGCGAGGAACGCGTCGCTCTACAAAACCGCCTTGATGACACATCGCAAATGCTAGGTCGACTAAAACAGATCCAACATGAGCGTTTGTCAGCACCACCACCGGCCCATTTGTCTAACGTTCCTAAGGCAGCAGACGCCGAAGTGATGTTAGCCGATAAGATCACCGATAATCTCACTGATATAGCAAAGAAACTGCCACCGTCGGGGATCGCGCCGGTAGACGGATTGCGTAGAGCGATGGGCATAGCGCCCTTGGGCGGACCGGAACCCATGGAAGTCGAGCCGATTACGCACAACCCCACCATAGTCGCTGACAGTTCGTTACTGCCGCCAAATCCGAACAATGGTAATCAGGTATTATCAAACCTGTTGCCGACCCCCTCGCCAATTCAAAACGCGAATCTGCTGAGTCCGACTGGCCAGCAAAATCAAAATATCAGTATTGTGGGTGCGAATCAGCCGCCACCGCCGATTCAGATGCAGATCGGCATGACTCACAGCAGTCAAACGCCACCGTCGCTATTGAGCGCGTCGGAACCGTCTGGCGTGGCCGATCTCGAGTCCGAGCTGCGCGAGTTCCTAGAGAGCGATCCTACGCTGGGACACTCGCCTCTCCATGACGATAAAACTCTAGAGGACATCCTATCTGAATCTTAGTGCGCATGCGATAATGTGTGAATGTTCCGTAATATAATTTATAAATAGAAATAAATTATAAATATTATAATATACTTCTGTACATTTTATTATTGATACGCTACTTTCGCATATACGATTAATAAATTAGTTGACATAATCCTATGTCTGATTTTAATTACATGCTTTACTTCATTTCATTCTTTCTATTTCATTTTCCCCAAGAAGAGTGAAAAAAGATCTGTTAGGATGCGAACAATACATTAAAAAGAATTTATTAAATAGAACGAATATTAACGTGTCATATATTTCTTAATTTGGAGATTAAAAGAAAGGCATTTAACTAGGAAACAATTTTTTGTAATTTTTTTATATAGTTTTATAGAAGAATAAATTTACTTTTTATTTTTACAGACTCGTATCTGTTATTCCGTGCACAATAGCTCATTTGTTACGCAATGTTCGTAATGCTGGAATGTAATTTACATATATCGATACTCGATACGGCGTGCTGTATTATCAGAACACAATATCGGTCCCGTATGCAATATATAACGAAAGATACATAAAGGAAATGTACAAAGATACTATCGATTATTGATAAGTGCAGTCGCTATCGCTGTATTTTGTGTTCCAAAGCGTAATGAGAAGACGAGCCGCTACCACGATGAGTTTTGTTTGTAGTCGAAAATGAAATCAATCACGGCATGCTCGATGAAATAGATAATGCTAAATACGTTATATATCATACGTTATATATCGGTAACTAAATACTCATACTCTCCGTGAATGTTCTGAGTTTCAAGGAGATTAATGTGCGATTCGATTCACGAAACTCCAAGTTGAAGCTTCGAAATTAAGCTGGAATTATAGAACCTCCAAGTGCTTTCACGAGGATCCAAAGGATTATAATTTAAGATACAATCTTAAATTTTCATTTATTTCCACACGAAAATATCTAGATAAAGAGAGCGCGTGATTTTTGATGCGGATTCAAATTTTATTATTTCTACTATTTATTTCAAACACATATGAATAAACGCGTGATTTAATGTAATAATACATACATTTTCTTTTATTTTTAATGCATCTAAGAATAAAAAGAAAATTTATTTCAACATTGAGAATAATCTGCTCTAAGAGCGCAATGAACATACAGGTAATCAAGTTAAACGTTTCTGGTCAGGATTTCAGCAATTGCATTAATCCGTTTATGTCAGATAATATCGTTTTGATCGATGCAGCTGACTACACATGCGTTTGCGTACGAGAAATGCATAATTCCTTCTTCATCATCGCATTCGGCATCGCGTATGCTCGGAGATTTGCCGATAGCAGGATTACGCAAATGCGAGAGTTTATTTTCGGAAATCAAGCTCTTTGCGCTCTTTGAGTTTAATGATAGCTCGTGAAAAAGGCGTTATCAGATCGACATCAATTACACCATTGTCAAAGATAAAATTACAATAATATTAATTAATCGTAATACACTTTATATCATATCTTCTGCGTTAAACGCAGAATCGCTTCGAGCGAATTTATATTTATCTCTTCCGCATTTTAAAAGCTTTCATCACATTTGTTCGACGATTCAATAATTTTTTTCGATAGATCTTTTCTATAGACTATTTTAGATATTTTATAGATAGACAGATTTTTTTTAAATCACGAATCTTACTTTTGTCGGAATATAAAAGTTTCAAATAAAAAAATAATTGATTGAATTTATACATTTAAGATATTTAGATTTTACGTATTTATTAGATTACATTTAATCTCAATTTAATGTAGCGTTTAATTTTTTTCTGACTTTTAAAACTAAAAAGGAGGATTAAAAAGTTATATACCGAGACAAAAGTTTCTTAATTTATATTACAGTAGAAATGGATATAATAGATCCGTAACGTTATCTATTTTGTAATTGATAAACGCACTTACGCGTATCTCGATGGACGATTATAACAGATGTAGAAAACGAAGCGTAAGATGCGCGCTGGATATCTATCTTTCCGAAAGTCATTTTAAAACGAGATATTCAGTTAATATTGTGATACGTTACAAATTACATACCGACGATGAGTCGACACTGGCGTGTTTATCTTCGTGTAGCGCGCTATTGTATACATTGCGGACGCGCGCGCGTGGCTGTTTACTTTTCGCGAGCCGGCAGGCGACGAGGTGTGAGTGTTCGACCTCGCATTACTCTTCGGAACGCGGACGCGACAACACGTATCGTTGCGTCTCTACGAACAATAAAGAAAATAACCGTTGCGATTATTTCATTCACGATAAACGACTCGAGCCTTTCGACGATGGAATAGGTATTTCGCGCGTCTCGTTCACGCGGAACGGAAATCAAAAAGAGCGGAGGTTGTAAAATATTACTTTTATTTCGTACATATAGACGATTATTTCCTCAAATAGATGTAAATTCGAAGGAATTTAATATCGCGCTTCGACGAACTTTTCGCCGATATTAATACATATGTGTTTTCGGATGACTCATTTTGCGTCTCAATTAGTCATTAAATTGACTCGCGTTGCGCTGCGTCGCGTTTCACAATGAAGTTGCTGTTACTTGAATTTTCAGTCATTAACATCGCGAACGCGGATCCGATCGGTTTCGAGTCAAATGGCGTCGCGACGCATTTAATAGTAAGTATAGTCGTAATCAACATCGTATATCGATACGTATAATTGATGATCACATAACATGAATTTGTGCGTGAGTTGAGATACATATTCCATTAATATTTACTTTTAGAATCCGCCGTCGTGCGCGACGATCATATTCTAGAATATGCATGAGCATTTTCAACGAGCTTCAATTTCAACTTGCGTATTATTCGCGTTCCAATACATTTCAGTAAGACTCTGCGCACAATGAAGGAAAGGGATAGTAGGGATAGGAATAAACATTGAATTGTAGAAATAAAAATTAGAAATAAAGATTTAAATGTATGTACAATGTATGTACAAGTAACTTTTATTTTCAAAATTCAATATCTATTTCTATTATTAATATTTCCTCCATCGTGCGCAGGGTTTAATTGTCCTAAGAAAAAAAAACGATTTATTATTGCAAGTGCGAAAAGTGTACGTAGTACAGCATCGCTGCGCGTCGGGTAGCGCATGAAGTTGGCCGCGCGATTTACGAATACGTTCGCCATTTTGGATTCGTCTCGATCGGCGAGATGACGCGTCGCGGATCGCGGCTTCGTGCAATTATACATTTCTCGTGTTATTACGTCCGTCGCGATGTAACAAAGTGCGCGTCGATAAATATCGGTGAATGTCGCTTAAAAACCGCATCTTCGTCGCTTGATAATTCATACGTGATCGTAATTATGTTTGCGCGAGTGAAGTGATGACGAGAGTGTGTGCCTCAAGGAATCAACGACGGGGGAGCCTGAGAGGAGGAGGGGGCCCGGGGTGGCATCAGACGCCGGCGGAGCAACCAAGGGTAAATATAATATTTATCTATATTCCTTGTTAATTAATTAGTTGTAAAATTAATTATTTATCTCTGCGATGCATACAATTGCATATATTTCGTGCAACTTTTTGTATTATATATAATATACAACGTGTAAAATATAATATACAACGTGTAAAATATTTTAGATTTTATTTTGAGATATCTATGTATATTTAAAAAAAACATTTAATATGATAAGTACAATAATTTTAACAGAAAATATTTCAACCTGTGTGTGTTCAAAATTTATTTGTCAATTATTTATATTAAATTGTCAATTATTTATATTTTATTTATATTTTATATTTATATTAATTATTTTTTTTTGTCAATTATTTACGTAGAAATTATATTTTTTATTAAATTTTATAAAATTCGTATTTAGATAAGAATATTTTAAAAAAGTAATAAATTCTTCAAAAGTAATAAATTCTTTTATGAATATTCGTTTAAAGAATTAAAAATTTAATATGCGCAATAATTTTTTTTATTTCATGTATTTTAAGCATTGATTTAATTTGGATTATTTGTGTTTTACAGATTAACATCATTAACTACAACTCCGCTGCTGCGCATCGTACCGTGAGTACTGAAATTATTTTTTATTTTAATTTTGATGATGGATTTATAAGAATATTATATGAGGTAATATAATAATAATATATTTTTTTCAAAAATTATTAATACAAAAAATTGAAATCTGTATTAAAATATGCAAGAAAAATACATGTGATGAAATATTTTATGTTACTTATAATTTCTTAAACTGACATAACATTAAACGCATTATTTATATCTATGATTATATTTATATCAAAAAATTATAAATTTATATTAAGAAAGGAAATAAAAGGATATTGTATATAAAATAATATTTTATAAATCTATCACGGTGCATATATGCTTTGAAATGGATGGGTTAGGATTAGTGCCATTATTTGTAATTGTTATTCAATGTTTATTTTGTGAATTAGAATATACATAAAGTTTTTAAAATAACGTTTATTATATAATTAAAACATTATTATCTGAGTTGATCATTTATTTTGTTGTATATAATTTAATGAAAAGACGAATTAATAATGATCAATTATATTTAATCTATAATGCATTAATCTTTTATAGTCCATTCATGTTTATTGATAATAAACATTTAAATTGATTCATTTGAAACAAAATAACGTGAAATGTGTTCAATTCAATAAACATTTTAACGTAGAATAAAAAAATGTTTTTACTGTAATAATAACTATAAATTATTTTGCAATAATCGATAGATAATTTAATAAATTTATTTATATTTTAAATTTAATTTTACAAAAAAATCAATATTTAATATTTAAACACTGGATAATATTAATATATATCTAATATAATTATATCATATTAATACTATATATTAATATAAATTATTGAAGTATTTATTTATTAATTATTAGAATATAAATTGTAAACGAAAAAAAAAAACAAAAATAGTTTATAGATTACATAATATAAATAAAAGAATAGAGATGTGATAAAAAAATCAACATGATCGAGTTTCAAGCGAAATTTATATAGATATGTTTTCTATATTCATAACGTTTATTAATTAAAAGTGACTTTATATTTAATTAA